AAACTAACTTAGAATCGAGCCTTGTGTAAATGCTAAATTAATTTAAAACTTAATTTAATCTGATATTTTTTTTACAGTTATGAATTGAATTTGGTCAATGATAAGGCTACACAAAACAGCCTTTATAATTATTTTAAATATAACATTATTACAGTAGGTACATTTTTGCATTTGAAATCTAAGTTTTCTTCAATCGATTTCATTTGTCGATTCATCGCTGCATATACTAGAAATCATTTTTTTATTATAAAAAAATGATAAACATCACTTCGGAATACGTAACGATCAGTATTTATAAGTGAAGGTATTTTAGTGATAATATCAATCGATAAGATAATCTTACAGCTGTTAAATACATCTCTTTCAATAATAACTAAGAACACTCCCGACCGAGTCATCACTCAAATAAACAAAACTAGATCAAAACCGGTTTACCCGGATAGGAACCATGATGATACAGATAAACACACACTTACAGTGCAATGTTATAACGTTCATCCTTTTATTACTGATAATACGAGTAGCTTGCGACATAAAAGATATAAAACAACAGATTATAAATAATCATACATCATTAAATAAATACGTAATTTTCATAGATTACGTTGCGGATTTTCGACAAACAACTTTGTATATCCTAAATATACTTAAATAATTGTTATCTCCAAATGATATAGGTACACATCTATTATTATCCAAATTTTAGATTTTGAAACACAAGAATGTAATAATTTTAGATTACATATCGCGATATTTTATATTTATGTAATATGATAGAATTAATTATAAAAGGGATTAAAAAATATATGGCCAATATTATTTGTATATTAAACATCTATTTTATTTCAGTATGCAAACCAAGAAATGTTGAGAAGAAATTGGAAAAATAAATTAGTATTTAAAACCACTCGCAACAATGACTGTAAGCATTAAAATAATGTCTTCAGAATCGTATGTCAAACACTAAATAACAGTAACCTTACACAACTCACACACGGTCCGTTTGTTTCTAAACTAGACAGAGTCTGTACTATGCTAACGAACTACTATGATAATACTTATATATTTCTACATATTATAACTCATTAATGTCTTCTTTCCATACCTGGACGTTAAAATGAGCTAAACAAATAAAATCTAGCTGTTAAATCAATTCTGAGATCGTTTATAATCGATTCGGGAGCTTAGTTAAAAAAATGATTAAGTTTGGATTATAAGAAAAAAAAACAAGTTCACATGCACTACGATGTTTGTTTACTAATAACTGACGTCACGTGCTTTGATCAGTACATTGTACTTGTACTAATCAAACTTGTCTACTCGTATTAATCACTTTTTTCTTAATTATAATATGTTAGTTATCATTATCTATGTTGAATTATATTGTTAGGCTTCGCACAGTTGCAATATAGATACTACTAATAAAACAAAAAATAAATACTTTTTTTTCTTATTTTTTCATTACCTTGTCTTTGTTATTTTTTTAGTGTTAATTCCCCCTCCCGCTGAATCTGAAGGGATTTAAATGGTGAGACGCATTTGTGTGTGTGTCTTAAGTTGAAGGTGTCCATGAGCAGCAGAAGTCACTTACCCTCGGGAGACCCGTCTGTTCCTTTGCCTATGCTTAAATGGCCTCCCGCCTAAGTAATGCCAATCGTCCTTGGGAATATAATCGTTTACAGGCGAGGCAAGGGAAGAGAATTGGGTTGAGGAAAATGAATAGAGTTAGGGTTTTCGGCACAAATGGGACCGTTTCGTTGCTTTGTGTGTACGGTTACGGAACGCAAATTCCTCCTCCCCGGATTTTTGAGGACTCAAAGGGCAGCGATGCACTGATGACACTTGAGTTGCAGATGTCGAAGGACGGTGATAGACCATCAGGTTAAATCAGGTAACCGGTCTGCTCGTTTACTCTTCTATTACATAAAACCTCCACATATGTAGTTTTAAATAACAACCAATTATATAATTGTGAACTATTGATTAAGTTTTTAACAGCTACTCAATGGTAAACCAACTAATGTCACATAAATAGTAAGAGGAAGGCGCCAGTGTCTGTAACACAGTTAACACTATCATAGACACTGACGTTCACTCTGTCTCTAAAGAATACGTTTTCTATACAACTATGCTTTTATGTTTGGATGTGGTGGACAAACTGTATTGGGCTTTATTGATTATATATTATTATTATTAAAAGAAAAACGGCGCTACGGCAAGGCTTATCCCTTTCTTTTCAATAACTGTACACGACTAAAATATTTCATGGTTTATTATTGTATATATATATATAAATATATTTATAATATATATGTATCTGTATGGGTTTGTGCATGTATAATTATATATAACTTTTATATTTATTTTTACACTATTGTAGCTTCAATATTGCTAGACTACCCATTGTTTCTTCTCATCTACTGTCGATTTGTCCATCTAAAGGTTGCTTGTAAAAGATTGCTTTCAGCAACAAGACTGCCCATTATACATATCCGTCTGTAATATTTCATTAACATATTGTAATTGCCATACAATAAAGCATATTTTATTCTATACCTCCAGTTTCGGATGACAAAATTGAACGGAGGCAGCAATACGCGCGTCGGGTACCCGTAAATAATAAATGGACATAATCTCTCATAAGTGTTAATTTTTAAATACAACAGTTTAAGTTTTGTCACCTGAGTGGGATCACATATTACTATAGTCGAAAATTCAGGAGCTAGATCTTCTCTAGCGTGACGAGTGGTCCCTAGTCTGGAGCATTACGTTCATCTTCGGCGTTTTGTGACGTTGAGATCTTTTTCTACTTAGAAGATCTATAGGTAATTTTATTTAAGTTTAAAACATACATATAAAAGTAATAATAAATTTATCATAGGAGTATAAAGTAACATTACAGGTAAAAAAAATTGCTGTATTCTTTACGGTACATCTTATTTTTCCAACGAAAGTAACTCAATAATGTAAACCTCACTTGTAAAGTTACGTAAAATTGCTAGTTACATTACACAATCCAATCCAATCCTAAAATTACAGATACAATATAAAAAAAATACATTTTTGGCTACAGTATCGATAAGAGTTCCCTTCATAATAAGTTTAAAATATCATCAATTTACAATATTAGACCTGTTACAGATTTATTATAAGTAGGTATAGATTTATAGTTTAGTAGCCAACGATTTCAATTATACACTTTACACTTTTAACAAAATTTTGGTTAGTACACAATTTACGAGGTATATGACGAATAAAATCAACCAATCAATCAATCAACAGCCTTTAATAGTCCACTGCTGGACATAGGCCTCTCCTTAGAAAAGAGGTTTTGGCCTACTATACCACGCTAGCCAGGCTGGCAGGGTTTATGTCAAGTTTTCCTTCTTTTTGCAGTGCTGGTGTCCTGCGTTGTTTTGCGCCCTTAGTCGGCTCTTACGAATCGGCCTTAGTCGAATTGGGGTAGTGACATTCCATATTCTTAATCCGTCACTACACAGACAAAAAAAAACTCATTTGTTTATTTACGGTTCGGTATTTTCATAATACTAAAGAATAATAACAGAATTATATTCAACTACGAACGAGCTTGCTACTAATAGATAAAGGTAACGTTTATCTGTTAGTTGCGACTCGCTATCTATAATAATATTTAGGGTTCAGTAGGAAAAGTAAAAACACTATTCTTGATATTAAAGAACTGTAAAGTAATACGAAAACGAGCAGAGCAGTATGCCTTAAGTTGTAAATTAACAATAAAAACTAAAATCTCAAACTTTCATAGGTTCGAAAAGAAACTAAAGTTGCCCAGCATTATAATCAAAAGGTAAAGTCATTTACGTCACTCTTATTCAACGTTTAATTTTAATTGATGCCATCTATGTATTAAAACTTGTAGTATATCCTGTATCGTGGGGGACTTTACAAACATTCACGAAAAGTAATTCACAAAGTGTTGTCCCATGTGGGTCAACCTACAACACTCAGCGCAGTAGGAAGCAGCGAGATGACCGCTTAAACCTCTACGCCATCCGTGCAGCCTAGACTTCCCTTCAAACCTTAAAAGTAACACCCATGTCGGTTTGTAGATTATTTCAAAATTTATTTATTTAATTTATTAAACATCTTTTTACCCAAAGACGGAGTTGTTTTAAAAATGCACAAACCTAGTGTTTCTGACCAAAACAAACAAATAACCTGTTGTCATTGAAAGAATTCAAAATGCTCTATCAATTAACCTTACACGTGGCTTGAAGGCGATCATATGTTAAATAATTCTTCCAATAATTAGTAGAATATTAAATACAATAGTTTTAGTGCTATAACTATAACAATATCTTTTAAAATATCAATGACTTACTCTGTTTTATTGTATTGTGCAATTTATGAAAATATTATTACGCATTATTATTATTGCTTTTTCGTAACAAAAAGCACACGTGCTATATTTTCTCATTTATAGAAACGTGTTATACTAGTAGCTATAATGAGCTAAATTAATGTATTAAATATTGCCCTTGAATGACTGAGCCTACTGCTTAAAAGCTATGTAACCGGTTCGTTGTGTTTTAGACTTGTTTGAAAGATGTCGGCCATTAATTCCAAGCACTTTGCCTTTTAATCGATGGTACTGGAGAATCACTTCAGTTCTGTCTATTAACTCCTTATATATCATCTCTCTATCTTTATACTAACTTCTAAGAAAAATATTTTCTCAAAGACCTAGCAGTTCTAATCGCTTTGCAGCATATAGATAAAAATATATAGAAATCTTCAGTTAATGCCATGTAGCACACTTGCTTCCTTGTATACTTACTGAGTGTGTTACTTTTTAGACGGAACCCTCAAGGCGTTATCGCTTTCGCCATTATTTGTCTAAATTTTACACTTATAAATTCGTGTTACATCAGACCACTATTAGTTCTGCTTTGTGTTCAGTCCGCGGCGACAGGTTAAATAAGAGATTTTAAATAGAACATCTTAGTCATTATCGTGGTAAAATGAATCCAAACAGTGGTAAGTGGTTTTTAAATAACTTGAATGTTTATGTGTCCAGATGAAATTAAGATTAGAAAAACAAAACAGTGAACTAGCACAACAGTTAATCAATTAAAAATACTAATAATTACCAATCTCCACCTCCTAGTTAAGTCATCAGACAAGGTAAAATATGCCAAATAGTCGTATTGTGAACCGAAAAGTTTTACTTCGAAACAACAATTAGATATAGGTTATAACTAACTTCTTAGATTAATTGGTGTAAATAGTTACAAATCAAGCTATTGAATAATCCAGAAACTTGTTAAAGAGTGATAAACGAAATCCATTCAAAGATCAAGAAGAAAAATAATTTTCTCTAACAAATTTAATTTGTACTTGAAATGAACAAACGAACAAGAAAAAAATGAACGAACACCGTCTTCAGTCATACATCGAAAGTTAATATGTTTATACTTATATTTTTATCTGACTATAAAGATACGTGGGGTTATCAATAGTTTCTTAATGTTATTACGTATTTAATAAATACGTTTTAAATCTTAGGTGGATTGATGCGATACAAGATCACAGAGACTTATAATCTATAGTGTACTTATTTAAATGCATCAATTTATTTCTTCTTTTCTTTTTTCTTATAAGTTATTTTTAACCCCCACGCAGTGCACTATCGCGTTTGAAGTCGAGCGTACGTAGTCGCACTGGCCAAACGACTTCAATCTGAAAATATACGGGATGTTCCACATCATCATCATCAACAGCCTTTAATAGTCCACTACTGAACATAAGCCTCTCCTTAGAAAGATGGTTTTGGCCTACTATACCACGCTGGCCAGACGGGTTGGTACAGGGTTTGTGTCAAGTTTCCTTCTCTTTGCAGTGCTGTTGGCCTGCGTAGTTTGAATATGAATTAAATACATAAATCAAAATAAAGTTCTTATCTAATTTGAAAAAACTAATGAAGACGCGGTGAAACTTGTAAATTGTCAAAAAATTTAAGAAATAGGCTGCCAGGCATACTTGATACATAAAATATCGAATTCTTACGGGGTTGCAAAAGGGATTGAATCGGATAGAAACGAAGAAGAACTAAAAGAAATATTGTAGTTGAATGATGAAATTTTATCAATAAAAAGAATTAAACGCTTAAATTCAGAAGGAAGATGGATATACAGCAAAGCTATAAGACTTAGTTTTAAAAGTAAGATATTACCTCTATTTATTTATGTCTATGGCTGCCGATTTAAAGTTGAAGCATAGAAGTTCCAAGTTACTCAGTGTTCAGGATGTTGGCAATTTGGCATATAAAGAAGTACTCTCCTACAAAAAATATTATTTGCCAAAGTGCTGTGGTAATCACTATAATTGTAATATAAAAGAGTTCATGTGTTTAAACTGCAAAAGGGAGTCATTTTGTTTTAGATAGGAATTTCCCTATTTTTCTAAAAGAAAAAATGATCCGGAATATCATCTGTGATGAACAAGTTACTAACAAAGAAACTTAGAGCCTTACTGTTGCTAACGAAACGTAAACAAACAGAAAATAAACAAAAATCTGAACCAATCACAATATCACATAACCCTCAGGAAGCGTATAGCAGTGTTTAGCCAGAGCAGTTGCAGGCAGCCTACCACAATCTACTAATGAAGAAGAAAATAATGTAGAGGCACATACAAAAGAAATGAAAAAGTTAATATGTAGTAAAATTCTTGTAGGGGCAATATTAAAACATATATCTAGATTTATGTATGGATAGTACACAAGGTCATTTTAAGTATAGAATATTACAATGGAATTCACAAAGCTTAAGTCGTCGTCGTAAGTGTTGTTGGAAGAAAATATACACATCGCTATCATTAGTGAGACGTGATTTGAGTACGGAAACGACGTAAATGTAAGTGACTATGGCTATGGGTGAGCCGCTATATTAGTTCATAAATCGATTCGATCCCATATAATTTCCTTAAATAGTAAAAAACCCGATATTGAAATACCATGCATCAAGTTACTAAATTGTAGGGACCTACAATATATTGCCTCATTGTATTGCCCACTGTCAGTTCCACCGGCCGACAAGAATGAATTGTTTTCACACTTTTCTAGAAAAGCTTTAATAGCTGGTGTCTTTACGGCCTCCATCCTAACTAGTCAAGTAAATTAAATGTGAGAGGTACACAACTTACGGATGCCACTCTTGAATGCGGTTATATTTATATTAGCAATGGTATGCCAACCGTGTAATAATGGCACACGTATATTTGTTAATGACATTTTACAAAAGACTTCTCCTGATGTAACATTCGATTCCTCTGATGGCAATACAGTTCTATTAGCAGGTACTAAATGAAAATCTTGATAGTGATCACTTGGTATTAAAGATATCAAGTGATATGTCTACTAGCCTCCATATTGTTAGGAAACGAAATTTTAAAAATGCTACATGGAGTGAATTTTGCCATACCCTTTCATCATCCGGAGATCATTAGTAATTATAACGATTCCTCGGATAATGTTCAAGAAATGTATAACTTTTCACGGACCGAACTGAATACGCTGCGGAAAAGTACACAGTACAGTTCCATACAAAAAAAAATGTAAAAAGCCTCACGAAAAATTTAAACCTAAAGATTATTGGACACCTGAATTGTCCCATATAGTGGCTCAGCGGAGATTAGCTTTCAGAAACTTTCGATGTATCCCGACTCCCGAAAATTATAGTATATTACAATCTGAATCTAAAGAATCCTAAAAACTAATCAAGAAGGCTAAGTTTCTTAGTTGGCAAACCTTTTGTAATTCCATTAATGAAAGAACGTCGGTACCTGAAATAAGGGCTACAGACACCAGAGACCCTTTCCTCCAATTGAATCGCAGAATGAATGTTGAATTCCTTAATGACAGAATGTGTCATGAATTCAAGCCCTAGCTTTTTATCTATAAATGATGAGTTGGAATCAGAATTAACAACTCAAGAACTTAAAAATTGCTTAAAGAAGAATGATTCGGCTCTCGGGAAAGACGGTATTTCATATTCAATGATCTATAACTTACCCTCTTCAGGGAAACAATTTTTGCTTAACATTTACAATGATATACATAAATTCAGCATCCCATATCAATGGCGAAACATCGATATAATTCCTATTCCGAAAGCAAATAATCATTACCATTAATAATGTAATTAAATTGAGACCGATCTTACTCCTATCATGTCTGTGTAAAATTTTCTACCTGACATTTTTTATGTCCAAGAATGCCTTGGACATAAAAAATGCGTATAATAATATCTCGATTGAGGTAGTAACGAATACATTGAATGACATACAAGTAGGTGCTAAACCTTAGACGTATTTATGGTCCTTTTTGAGCGAATGACACTTAAAAATAAAAACTTTCGATAATGAAGTAAATACGAGTACCTATAGATGGACAAATAGGGGACTAGCTCAGGGAGACCCTCTTTCACCGTTGCTTTTTAATTTGGTTACCTATAAAATATGCCGTCAAATTAAAAACAAATTAATATCACAATATGCAGATGATTTCACAATTTATTATAAGGACAAACAACTGACAAGTGTCGAATTCTATATACAAGAAGCACTAGACATGTTTATTGCACTGTTGAATGAAATAGGTTTAAACTTATCACCTATGAAATCGTATTATTGCCTTGTTTGGAATCAGACTGCCATGTGTGAGATGTGTGCAGTCACTACTATTTTTACAAAGGGTTTTGGGTGGTTTGTATAATGGCTGGACATCAATTCTAAGAAATTTTGGTCGTTTTAACATGGAACGGGCGAAGAATATAAATTAGTTGACGTAAAGAGGTAGGAGGAGGGTGCTAGGATAAGAAATACCACCAATCTCGGACAGGCAAACACTACTAAGACTGCAGTAGCTTGGAGAAGGCTGGAGTTGCGTACGAGTACATGTTTTCTGTCAGGACACATGTACACAACTCACGTAGGTACACGTTGTCCGTGCGTGGTGGGTGAGATTACCACGCCAAGGACAAAAAACGGGCTTCTCACTATCAGATGTACCACACAAAAAATTTAATCGATTTATCGTTGTATCTGATAAACGATAGTCTAGGGGGAACACGAAATATTGGTGGCAACCTTTTGTTTTACGTTATCTCAATTGTAAAGTGTTTTTTTTTATGTATTAGACTTATTGATAGATTATAAATCCATTTATTTATTTATAAGTCATATATTATATATTATTCTCTTCTTAATATTTGTAAAATATAGATAGTGCCTATGTATGATAGTTAAATATGTAATGAAAAATAGTAGGCTATGTTACTCGCTGGTAATGTAGCTTTTTATTGGTTAAAGAATTTTTAAAATCGATTTAGTGGTTTAGGCGTGAAAGCGTAACAAACAAACCCACTTTCATATTTATAACATGTAAGTATGGATGTAAAATTGTTCTACGGAAGGTTTTCTGAAGCTTCAATCAACATAAAGCAAGGGCTAGCGATTTTAATTAGATTAATTTCGTTCGGCCAACAATCTCCTTCTACTCTGTCCTTCTCACACCATGGGGTTTGTCGGCTTTTCGTTCTTCTTCTAGGCTGTCCTCTTGTAGAATGCGCTTCCTCTCGAAATCAGGATGGCCACAAATCGGTACTCTTTTAGGACGAAAGTAAAAGAGCCTTTGTTTAGTGAAATAGCAAATTCAACGAGCTCTTAGCTCATCGCCTAAAATTATTATATTTTTTTAAAATATATATGAATATATGTCTGCATGTGTATGGACATTTAAGTATGTATGTGTGTGGTATTCAAATGTATACACCGACTTCTAAGATAGTTGGTATTTAAGCAAACCTCTATCATTTATTACCCTCTCATAAATGCACCTACCTTATTCTTTCTCAGCAACTGGCAGACTAGCGACCCGTCTGCTCGTCTGCCCTCTCTGACATAAAGAAAAGAATGCCTTAGGCATTAAGTCTGCCGATGCATGGTACTTGTGCAAAAAGCTATAAAATAAATTAAAAAAATTAAGTACATAAGATACAGGTGATTTTACTCATAATTGATTTGCTGCAAAATAATAATAATAATTTATTGACTAAAATCCGGAACTACTAAAGTGCTAATATTGTATTTATTTATACAAGACTTATATTTGTTTAACCTTCATTTCAGAAAAACATTTTACCGCTGACCCTCCCCCGTATTCAGACAATTCTACCGGTATACCGCTCCAGACTAATGTTGCAACACCTGGTGCTGCTACTGTAGTAGTTGGCTCACCAGTAGTTCATACAACTACGGGAGTCGTGGTACCGGTGGTAGTAGGAAACCGGATGGGACCAAAACCTGCTTCACAAACATGCCCGTCATGTCGGGCCCAGATTGTGACTAGAGTGGAGCATAAAACCACGACGAAAACACACCTCTTCGCTACTTTACTTTGCTTTTTAGCGTAAGTACACATCCACAAACTTTTACGAAGTTATTCGGATTATGGAGCAGCGGTAGTTTATATTTTTATATTGTGAGCACTACTCAACTTAAAGACCTAAAAAAAAGTCACTTTTAGAAGTTACATTTGTTACTAATTAAGAATATATTATTATCAAAATGATTACTGTTAAGAAATTCATATTCGTTTGGATACGTAATGATGTTTTATCTATATCATATCTATCGGAACAGAATTTGGGTTCGATTTAAAAAGTAATGTAAAACCGTTGACCTTTATCAAGGTCAAGGCTCTACAGTCTTTATTTAAGCTAAGAAGGTAATAACGATTAAATGAAACATAAAACAGTTAAGGAGTTGACTTGTTTTTAATAGTTATTTCAGTAATGTTTGGGGGTAGGTGAAATTACGTCTGTTCGCTAAGGAATTACCATTATGAGAAGAACAGACAAGAAACTCATAAGGTTTTCTTTTTCAACAGTCAAACATTATTACAATTTCATTTACTTCAACTAGAAAAACTTAGAAAGTTAATACTCAACATTTAAATAACTATTTTTCAACACTATTTCTTAACAAATTGACTTTAACTCAATAATTATTGAAATAATAGCAAGACACTAATTTGATTTGGAATTCGGGGAGAAATTGGACAAAGGTTCAACACTCACTTGTTTTCCCGCTCAAAATCCGTCACAGACTCTCTCTCAATAATGTTTTTCAAGCCCACCTGCCGCCACTCTGGCGGCAACGTCTAGTTGCGCGTCAAAACGGAGGCAGATGGCGCTAACGTATTTTCGTAATATTAAATTTACCACAAATAACCATATTAAGAATTCCAAATCAAGCCTTAATTATTTAAACAATATTACAAATAAGTTCTGATAGTCTAAAGCAATCAAAACATTTAAAATAGTAAAAACAACTTACATTGAAAGTACTCACAAAGACTTGCATCAAATTAACTCACCAAAATTAAAACTTCACGTTAATACAGTATTATGAATTACAATCTTGTCTAAAAATTCTAATTAGATTTTAGAGAGTGAAATTTATAATCAAAAATAATTAATAACAATAATCAATTTAATTAATTTCCGGCGCCTCCAAAACTCCGCGGCGACACGGCCATACTGCGAGGCGAGACGTGCTCAGGATCGCTTGATTCTGAAAATAGGAAAGTAAATTCTTTTGAAGCTAGGCACTTCCACAGTACACCTAGTATTACAATTTACGGTCAGAGGCGCTCTATGATAACTCTTAGTAGAAGTATTGCTTATTGGACGGCTCCACACGCCAATAGCAATTTTAAGATAAATTATTCCCTCCGCGGAAAGCATCACGGGGGATTGGACTTATCGGACGGCTCCACACGCCAATAGTCCTTTTTACACACTATTTTTAGTCGAAGTCAAAGTCAAAGTCCTAATGTCAAAATTATGATATAGTGTGCATAGAGGTATGGTTTGTATTCATGTACATTTGGTGCGTATAATCGCACGTGTGTGTGATATGTGTGCGAGTGTGTGCTTGAAGAGCACAATATATTGAAAAACCCTCACCGGGAGAAATAGGTTTATGTAAGACTCGGCGTCGCTGTCCTCTTCCAGGACAGCGGGGGTGGTGACAGCTTTTGATGGAGCCTCAACTCCAGGTGCTGGTGTGTAACCGGAAGGCCCGGGTTGAGGTTCGTCTGGGGGCGACACGGCCGCCTGGGTACCAGTTGGTTGTGGGGCGCGCCGCAGTTGGTCGTGCGCGACCTTGCGGGGTCGACCCTGATGTCCCACGACCTTTTTGACAAGGTAGCGGTCGTTCTCGAGCACTCTGTGAACTTCGTATGGAACGCTAAATTTCAAGTCTAAAGAAGTTTGATTTCTAGGGTTATTTTTAATTAGGACAAAGTCGCCTCGTTGAAAGTTATGGACTTTGGCACGCCCTCTATCGAACCTGTCCTTGTCCTTTAAAGCTATTGCAAGCATTCTTTGCTGCACATGTCGTTCTAAAGCTTCAGCGTTGACTAGAGCTTTGTCGATGTCGACTAGGTTCAGCAACTCTGCAGGCACGCAGTTCTGGCGACGAGTGAGGAGTGTTAATGGCGCAGTCCCAGTAGTTCTATGTACCGTACAGTTCATGGCGAGCTGCAGACTCTCGAGCGCTGTATGCCAGTCCGGGGATTCGTAATTTTTTTATTATTACAAGACCGTTCTTAAGAGTTGCCATGATTCTTTCCACTTGTCCGTTTGCTCTGCTAACACCTGGTGATATTGGATGAAGTTCAATACCGTACCTGTCACAGTAGCTTTTATAGTCACCCAAGAACTCGCGCCCGCCATCTACTATGATTTGCCGCGGCGCTCCGAAAAGATGGATGACCTGTTTCAATGCGGCAAGAGAGCTGTGTTGACTTTTATCATTAGTGTGACGGAGTAGCACGTATTTCGTGTATGCGTCTATTGTAACTATAACATACTCTTGATTGTTTGGAGAACCAAGTTTCCCAGTAATGTCCATGTGTATTACTTCGAAGGGTACTGTTGGTTTGGGAATGGGGTGTAGTTGGACCTGATTAGCTCCCGATGTCTGTTTCGACGTTTTGCATACCACACAATTGTCGATAAAATCCCTGACACTGCTGTTCATCTTGTCAAAATGATAAGACTCTCTGATTTTGTGCAGAGTCTTCTCCCATCCTGCATGTTGTAGGGCACTATGGAAAGTGTTAATCAGGCTCCATTGAAATGTCCTTGGCACGACAGCAAGTCTTCGTGGGCCTAGAATAGGATCGATCCTTTCAAATTTGAGTATGTTACCTTCCAGATGATAACCAGTTACTTCCTCTCCTGTGCCCAAGGCGTCTATAGTGGGACGCAACTGTGGGTCGCGGCGCTGCTCTACGATAAGCCAGTCTAGGTTGCTGGTCATGACATTGACCGACAGTACCTCTGGATTCCGGCTCAGGAAATCTGCATGCTGCATCCGCTCGCCCTTCCTGTATTCTATGTCAAATTGGAAATTCTGAAGATATGCCCACCACCTATGGATCCGAGGGAGCAGATCTTGTTTGTGTTTCGAAGCCTTCAACGCGTTGCAATCAGTGACCACTTTAAATTTTCGGCCGTAAGGAAAGTGTCGAAAGTGCTTAATTGCTCGGACCACGGCCAATGTTTCGAGCTCGTATGAATGATATCTACTTTCGATATCAGTTGTACGCATACTAAAGTATGCCACTACATGTTGCCGACCATTGATAACTTGAATGAGTATTGCTCCAAATCCGAGACTACTGGCGTCAGTAAACAACTCTATTGGTTTCTCTTCTTGGAAAATCGTTAGTATCGGCGCGGTGGTGAGGAAACGAATTATCTTTTGACGAGCCTCTTCATGAACACGACTCCATTTCCATTCAGCGCCCTGCTTAGTTAAATCGTACAGGGGAATCATTGTTCGTGCAAAATCGGGAATGAAGCGGCGAAAATAACCCGCTAAGCCATTGAATTGGCGGACTTGTTTTACAGTGGTGGGAGCAGGGGCCTTCAATAGGGCCTCGACTTTTTTGGGACTGGGACGGACCTGACCATTCTCTACTATATTACCAAGGCACTCTATAGACTTTTTGAAAAAGCTGCATTTGTCAATATTAATGGAAAACCCGGATTGCCGCAATGCTATCAAGATTCTTTCCAAATATGAAAGACCAGAGGAAAAGTCGCGGCATTTGCTTATGACGTCATCTATGTACACTTGGGCTACGCTATCGTTGTGACCATTATTGGCACTGCCAGAATTCAGTAGCGGACCTAACGCGCGATTAATGCACCTTTGGTAAACGGACGGCGCGTTACAGAGACCAAAGGGCATGGTTAGGTATTCGTAGAGACCATCGGGTGTCACAAAAGCAGTTTTCTCGATTGAATCTGGGGCAATAGGAATCTGATGGAATCCGGATGCCATATCTAAACTCGTGTAATACTGTCCACCAGCCAACTGATCGATTTGATCAGCAATTAGAGGTAGGGGATAGTGATCGCGTACCGTGTTACTATTTAACTCCCGATAATCGACGCACATTCGGTCGTCGCCATTTTTCTTCTTGACTAAAATAATTGGACTCGAATATGGAGATTTACTTTCCCGCACAATATCGTTCTCAATTAATTCAGCGACTATTTCCTTAACCTTTTCACGCTCGACTGGACTTAACCTATAAGGCCTTCTCTCAACAAATTTGTCTTTATTCTTTAAACGGATTTCTAGTTGACCTGTATTGACTCGAGATTTAGCAAAACCGCGCGTGAAGAGATCTGAGTACTGGTTAAGCAAAGTGAACAATTGATCTACCTCGGATTGTTCCTTTAGATCGTGATCCATATTGTCAAATATACCGCTGTCGGCTCGTACATGCATGACACGTGGGCATGGTACTAGTTTCGCGCTATTCTGTGTCACTAAAACACTTAAACCGGTATCGTGTAGTAAATTCGCACCGATTAGAACATCCGAAGTCATTTCAAAATCGGGCAAAACATTGAACACGATTTCTACGTTAGTATTATCTATGACGCATATGGTCTTTATTCTCCACGTGGAGATCACCGGGAATGGACCTATACCTCGCAAGTAACTAACTATTTGTTCTCTACGACCTGGTAACTTGTTTGCAATAGATTCGCGCATTACCGAACATTCGGCCCCACTATCAAATACCGTATCTATCGTAATGTCACCTACACGCATGGCCATAGTATTCAAACTAGAGTGACTGCTAGCCACCGAATTAATGTTGGGAACTATTGCTTTTTCCCGGCGGTAGCAAGTGTCAAACGTATGACCTGGTTTGGAACAATATGAACAAAACTTATTATTCGTGTCATTTGGCTTTGATGAGGGGTGGGACTGAGGGACCCCACCGGTTGTTTGCACATTCGGATTGGCAGCATTTTTGTTACGGCAATTACTGAAAGAATGGCCAGTTCTTTTACAATGATTACAGTAAAGAGAAGCATGGGGTTTATTACTATCTGAAAATCGAGGGCGTTTATGCAATGGTTGATTAGGATTCAGATTGTTTTGGCTAGAACGTTTGCTAGATCTAATAGTGGAAGCAACAGAGATCAGTTCGGGCACTGAACTAGCTCTGGCATTCATTAATTCAATTCTAAGGCGCTCGTCACTAATAGTTCCTATTACCGCTTCTACCGCATCACTATTGTCAAGCATATCTTTAGTCACACGTCTCCATAAAATCCACGACTGGGTCAAAAATTCCGAAATATCTTTGGAATTGTCGTAGGTATGCTCTCTAAAACGAACTATATCCCGTGAGTAACGCGTTTCGGGCTCAAACGTTGTTATAATTATTTGACGTAGCTCTTCCCACGTTGAGGTAGTTACAAGCCAGTTATCGGTTCATATTTTAGCACGCCCTTTCAACAAGCTGGTCACTTTCATGCGAATGTCGTAGTCACTGAGCTCATAGGTATCTTTAGCCGTAGAAATATGATTACACCACTCACGTACACCAACATTACCATCAGGATCATATGAGGGTAGGAAGACCTCTGTGATTTTAACCTTATTATTGGGTTGTTGGAGTCGTTCAGTCATGGTCTGCATCATTTTCATCATGTGTAGGAAAAAATCAGGTGGTACATTACCAATTTGTTGTGATACTGGGCTTGCAGTGTGCTCACTAGGAGTCGGGTTGCTCGGTCCCGAAGGACACGTAGGAGGCTCATCTGACTCGGCTCCGTCCATGGTGCACGCTGTAATGCTTCAGTCAGGATTATCTGAAATCGTCGAAAGACCAGAGCAGAAAGGGGATCGCATGGCGATCCCACTTCTGATATCGGAACAGAATTTGGGTTCGATTTAAAAAGTAATGTAAAACCGTTGACCTTTATCAAGGTCAAGGCTCTACAGTCTTTATTTAAGCTAAGAAGGTAATAACGATTAAATGAAACATAAAACAGTTAAGGAGTTGACTTGTTTTTAATAGTTATTTCAGTAATGTTTGGGGGTAGGTGAAATTACGTCTGTTCGCTAAGGAATTACCATTATGAGAAGAACAGACAAGAAACTCATAAGGTTTTCTTTTTCAACAGTCAAACATTATTACAATTTCATTTACTTCAACTAGAAAAACTTAGAAAGTTAATACTCAACATTTAAATAACTATTTTTCAACACTATTTCTTAACAAATTGACTTTAACTCAATAATTATTGAAATAATAGCAAGACACTAATTTGATTTGGAATTCGGGGAGAAATTGGACAAAGGTTCAACACTCACTTGTTTTCCCGCTCAAAATCCGTCACAGACTCTCTCTCAATAATGTTTTTCAAGCCCACCTGCCGCCACTCTGGCGGCAACGTCTAGTTGCGCGTCAAAACGGAGGCAGATGGCGCTAACGTATTTTCGTAATATTAAATTTACCACAAATAACCATATTAAGAATTCCAAATCAAGCCTTAATTATTTAAACAATATTACAAATAAGTTCTGATAGTCTAAAGCAATCAAAACATTTAAAATAGTAAAAACAACTTACATTGAAAGTACTCACAAAGACTTGCATCAAATTAACTCACCAAAATTAAAACTTCACGTTAATACAGTATTATGAATTACAATCTTGTCTAAAAATTCTAATTAGATTTTAGAGAGTGAAATTTATAATCAAAAATAATTAATAACAATAATCAATTTAATTAATTTCCGGCGCCTCCAAAACTCCGCGGCGACATATCATTTCTTGAACTAGGTAATGGACTAGAAACTCCGAACCCTCTAATACATGGTATGATATATGTATATTATAATTCATGATTCATTTTATTTTCAGGTGTTGGTGTTGTGTATGCATACCTTACTGCACGGACTCTTGCAAAAATGCCGACCACTACTGCCCCAACTGCGATGCTTACATTGGAAGTTACAACCACTAAGGATTTATGCGTTATTCTGTGTCATTGTATTGATAAGGCTGCTAAAAGTTAACCACAGATGTATCTATTGTTTAATAGCAGCAAATGTGAAAACTGTTTTTCTAGTTACTTGGCTAAACTCGTTAGTCTTGATAACAGAAACTGCGTTATTTAATTTCTTGAATGTTACATGCTTGCCGAGATTTGCTTAGCAAATGCTTGCATGCCATTTACACTCTTGCGAGTGTGTTGGTTTATTCCGGACAGGCAGACATGGCAGACGTAGACGTTGAAGTTGTGTATGTTATGGCTATTGCGTTTGGCTTAGCATATTTTTATTCAAAATACGTAAGTACAAGCGCTTGCCACGAGCTTCCTTTCATCTGTGTTCAAAAACCGACAAGCTCGTGCAAGCCAAGCCGAACGCCCCGTACACACGCTTGCGTTTGTACACACTTGTCAAGACTTGCCAAGCGCGTAAACGTAGCTTTAACCATTCGCGGTCAGTGACAGTATCTAATTATGTTCATACAGACTGTTTACTCAGCCTGAGCAACCTTATCGAAACGTCAGTTAAAGGCATGTCATTCTTGTTACGTGAAGTGTATATCTACTAAACGTGTGAAAGAAATATGCACAAGAAATGTGTTTATTTGCAGTTTGACATGTGCATGATAGCTCCAGGGAAAGTTTCTGAAGATATTTTCTATCTGTAACATTTTAGTACTAGTTTAATATTTGAGTTTGCCTTTGTTTAAAATTTTGTGATAAAAATTTACGAGTATCTCTATTGAAAGTGTGATTATTAAACGTCAATGTAAATGTAATTCATAATATTATTATGTACAGAGAAGAAAAATGATTTCGTTTTTCATTATAATGATAATTTCTTTTTTTTAAACGTAAAATCATATTAACATTATGACAGACACAGTAACACAGTACTTAGTTACATTAGAATGGTTATAATATGTCTTATATACTTATTAATTGCAACACTGGTACTCATGTTAAGATTTAACTTGTATTATGAGTGCCAGAGCTCTCTCTTAATGACCCCAAAAATTATGGAAACTGACTAAATGCACAATAGCTGAAGTTATTATGTAAGAAAAAAAGAAAGTAAAATTTGATAGTTATAAGGAATTACCCACCTATCAAATATAAATCAAACATAAATGTAGTTTTAATTTTATGTTTATAATTTCGATATTCATAGAATATATTTTTTAGAATATATTTAGTAATTGACTGCACGGCTGGCTTAAGCTTTGGTTTAAGCGGTCGCCACGCCGCTCACTACTACGCTGAGTGTTGTGGGTCCGATCCCCACATGTGACAACACTGTGTGATCCACAAATTGTTGTTCCGAGTCTGGGTGTTCTTTGTGTCCGTTTCATGTATGTTTGTAAAGTCTTAAAGGATGTATTCTCTTTTTATAAAAAAAAATGTACAAATAAATAAATAATAAATTACATTAATCAATACATAAATGCAGTTTTAAATTAATGTTAAAGCGTATATCAATTAATTAATACAAATGTTATAATAATAGTTATGTAGTATAGTTATAATAATAGTTAAGAAGTAATAATAGTCGATAGATGAATAGTTTTACTAAAACAAATAAATATTGTAAAAATGACAACATGTATAACGAAATAAATATAATAGCACTGAAGAGTCTCTAGAACTTGCCCACGCTCTCCTACCGTATACGCAAAGTGATGATGTCTGCTAAGTACATCGTCATATTCAGTTCTGTTCAAATTTAGATCTAATATATTTTCAGAAAAGAAACAGACATTGACATGCTTTGATAAGTGGCTTTTTGTTTTTAGTTATTTGCTGGAATACTATGTTGCAGATCTTTGAATTCATTTAGGAGTACATTTTTTTTAGTGCAAATAAATGTTGCTATGTGACGAATATAAAATAAGGAAAAAATAGAAAGGGCGTATTTGGTTTTTATTTATCCATTCAGAGAATTAGATAAGTCTGATAAACCAGAGATAGGTCGACGTATCTATAGATATCGTTGGTTACTATCAACATTTTCCATTGTAAACATCATTAGTTCGATAAAAAATCTCCGTGCATCCATCCTTGTCCATGCCAATAAAAAAAAAATACAAGTGCGAGAGTGTCTGTTTGTCTGTTACCGCTGAACCGATTTAGATGAAATTTGGTATAGAGATAATTTGGGTCTCGGGAAGGGACATGGGAGTTTTAATCAAAGAAATAATATTTTAAGGGGTAAAAATATGGGTGGAAGTTTGTATGGGGACTCAAAAACCGCTGAACCGATTGAAAATGGTATGGAGATAGTTTGATTCTTAATTACGGACATCGGCTACTTTTTACCGCGATAACCGACATAAGCTAATTAGAACATAAGTGCATACCATGAAGTATTACTTCGAAGATGTGGTTACGATATAGCGCTACATTTTGAATCATCTGATTTCATTTAACCAATTTTTGTTGCTTATAGTGAACTGCATCATGCATTTCCAAGTTTTGTAGGTTTAAAAAGCTTATTAAGTGAGTAACTATAGGTGCTGTGGTGTCTCCCACATACAAAGTAACAGAAATATACTACAGCGCCATCTAACGAAGACACACCGAACTACGGAGTAACACCTGAATGATAATGCTAATCCTGTATCGCGATATGAAGTACTCTCTCGCCGATTAGCACCGATTAAAACTTCCCAACATCAACCATTGGGTCGCGGCCTGCCAGACATGATCACCTTGCCTGGCCGGAGGATCCTCCTTTTGTGTTTGAGGAACACGACACCCGTTCCTCCACAGTGCTAATATAGGTTGGGTGTACGCAATGGCTAAAACAAAAAACTCAAACGATCGACTCGAGCAGAGTGACAGCACGGCCTTACAGAAAAGAAGTGTTAAGTAATCCTTTGTTGTTTTGAACCAAGAGTGAGGTTACCAGAGCCCAAACCTCCCCTCTACTTGGTTCTGGGGAGAGGGAGACAAAGGGCTGTTATGACTCATGAGTTGCAGGTGTCCATGGCCGGAGGCAGTCACTTGCCATGAAGTAACCCGTCTGCTCGTGTGCCCCCTATGAAATAAAAAAGGACCATTGAATATTTTCAAATAAGTAGATCCCAAGTTGCGTTTCGACTTTAATCATTTCGTTAAGTTAATAATTTATGCTCATCACAATGTCTTAGTAGAAGTACCAAGAGAACTCCTCTATAACAACATTTTGTAAGGGCTGTGGTTGACTGAGAATGAGACGGTAGGCTATTTTTCTTACCTTCTTTTTTTCAGCCCTATTCAACTATTTAGCTGTATGCCTGGACTCAGATTATACTATTTAACATGGTCTATTTCGCTTTTCTATGGACGCTTCTTTATTATTAAAAAAAATTCACATCATTCTTCCATGGCATTTGTGTTCTTCCTCGAAGTCTTTAATTTTGTTTTTCCCACGAGCCATGTTTACTCTTAACATAGTCCCCACGAGTTTCCATCCTAGTTATGTCTGGGTGACTTAAATTTCGTTCCTTTCAGGTTTCTGCTTCATACTCGTAATAAGTACCATTTTAATAACTTTACTAAACTACCTGGCGCCTGGTCCTAGTCTCCTGTTATATTCATTTTGAAAACAATATCATTTTTAAACCCATAGGGTAAACTATCATATTCTTGGGTACAATAATTCTCAAAACAATAATCAGATTCAGGTACATTTACTAAAAAAAGTAAGTTCTGATAAAAAGCGCTGGACAATTAAATTACAAAAAGAAAATAAACAATTAGAACTCTTTACAGACTCATGGACAAACAATAACTTTATGCCTCTTTGACGTTTTTCGAAGTTTAAAATATAAACGCCCCAAAGGCGGGTTTTAATTTAAAAACAAATCCTGCAAACGGGTACTGACAGCAATTACTGTCGTTAATAAAAACAGTGTGAACAAACATTAAACATTCCTCATTTCAAAGAGAATCCCACAAACGATACAACGATACAATACTCATAACATTGCGCGTAAGGCCATCAAAATAGAGTTCCCTAATTACTTGTTTATTTTCTATCACCGGGAGGTTATTAAAATAAAACGAAAATTCCTGTCTTGTGTATGTATCTTATAAAAGCATTTCGGCGTACCGGGCAAAAATGTAATAGCCTCGCCGAATTAACAAAAATTAATAAAAATTGGTTTCTCTAGTAACTCCATCAAAGATTGTATGTCCAAGACCAATTATAACGCAAAATCAAAATAAGGGGTCTTTGGTTTTTAAATATTTCGTTTTTTTCTATACTTTATTAGTAACATGTCAGTCAATATAACTGAAATATTATACCCGCTTTGCTCATGGCCCCACTACTCTAAGTAATGGACTTATCTTCGATGACACGTGACCACGCCTATCTCCCGGCCGCTTTGATGTAAGCTCTTGTCCACTCAATGTTGTCTAAAGCTCTGTTTAATTGCTGTCTCGTTATTTTAGGATTATGTTTACAGTGAAAAACGATTTTAATCACAACGTTTGTCTAATTGCGAACGATCAAACGGACTTTCCCATATGGTAGTTATTTGCCGTTAAAGCGATGCACGTTGCAACGGTTTTAATTATGAAGGGGATGTTTTAAAATTGTCTACAACTAACTTCAAATTATTTTAGGGTTAATTCTCATAGCGTTTCAAACGAAATAAGTTTTTTTTTACAGCGTATATGTAGGGTAACTGCGCCTTTAGTTAAAAAAGTGTCTATTTAAAAATGTTTGTAAGGCTTTTATCGTTAGTTAATCGCAATACTTTTTTCATGAAAATGTAGAGAAGAGACATACATAGTCTTCTTTCTGATGACCAAGGAAAATGAGATGTGATGGAAACGAGAATTTGAACTCGGGACTTTCAGTAGTATGACAGTGTGATAACAGCCTAGATGGTGTTTTATTTTTTTAATGGGACTAATCCCTCCCACACGCCCACCACTGTAACTCCTGTACACCAGGATCAACAACAGTGAACCCACAAACACAC